TTAAAGGGAACGAGAATGGGCCTCATACAGAAATGGGTGGCTCTGAAAGGTCTCCTTGCTTGGAAAGAGTATCTTCCGTGTGGATTGTTGGTGTCCTGGGTGACTGATGCTAGCCATGAGCATATAAAACTGGATATAAAAATACCAGCGTATCCCATGGCATTCAAAATAGGCCATCCCAGCAGTTAAGCACCGTATCTGGAACGGGTCTGTATCTCTGCTTGATCGGGATTTAGCAGATGCTTTGTCAAATCTAGTGTCTAATTTTGAGTGTAGTGCAGTCCAGAGAGCGCTTCATTCTTAAAGCCACTTCTGTGAAGTGACAGTTTCATTCATAGAAAGGGCTTCAGCTGACAATAGCCTGTAGTCCCTGGTTTGGGAGGTGCCTGCTGTCTGAAGGAGCTGATATATATGACAGCTCTTCTCATACCACTTTGAGAAATGGAAGAAGAAAAAGAAGAGCACTTGAGGCCAACAATACTCTTTTTTTTTTTCTCCCTCTATATTGTTGCTGAAATCTTGTCCCACACAGAAGAACTGAGAAATGACCAGGGGCCATTCCTTCACATCATGGCTGAGCTATTAATTTATAGTACCGTCTTCATAGAAATGCATAGTACCGTTCCTTGTGTCTGCCTGATCAGAAAATCACAGTTCAGTTTTTGTCTGGCTTATCTTTCACAATAATTCACTGTCACTTCAAAATCACATGGAGTGAACATGACAGGAAATTCATCATCAGGAGTTCCAATTGATCTGTTAATGACTAAAATCAGAATGCCACTTCATCCTTCATTTTTTATAAAGCAAGGAACCCACACTGTTGCTTTACACACAGACAACCAAACCAAGGTTAAAAACAGATGTCTCGGAAAAACTTTATTTTCCATGTTTATATTTGGAAAAATATATTTCATACAGGGGATATTCAGACTACTGAACCTGTCTACATTTCAAAAGAGGATGTAAAATGCATTTTTTTTTCTCAGCAAACAGCAATTTTTACTTGAAATAAAACTTAATAGGAAGAGAATATTGCTTTGAAAATAAACTAATATTCATTGAATAATGTTTCAAGATGGAAGTGAAAAAGCACTTTTGTTAGAAATATAAAATATATTGCTAAAAGTTGGTATTTGGACAATTGATTGTTCTTAATTATTCTGTCGATCTTTAAAGAGAAGCAACTTTTTATTTGTCCTTTGTCACTCTGTAAAACAGCCTAAGTGGACCTACTCAGTGTGCAGTTCTTACTGGTGTAGGTGTAATTCTGCATACCTACCAGAGGCAAAGGTAAAGATATAAAAAGTATTTGTCTTTACAAGAATGCAAGCAAGGTAGTCCCTACATTAAGGTTACATTACAAAAAACCTTTCAAACGGCATCCTGTACAGGACATATTTCAGCTTATTGCAAGTGTCAGACTTGGAGCATAATGATTTGGAAATGTCCTGAGATTACTATCTAATTCTTTATTTTTAAAATAATCTTTGTGGGATTTAATTGTGATCCTTTAAATGAGGCTAGCCTGGATGTTGTTCAAAGGGCTTGAAGAATTTTGCATGCTTGTCTTGTTGCCTCCAGCTCCCTGTGCATAAGGGCTATGTAAGGGTTCTAGCCAAGAAGTAGGAAATGGTTTCCTTTGCTGCAGCTGCTAACAGTTTTTAGAAATGCACATTGCATGTGTACACACACGCGCGCGCGCATTCTCCTTCATTAAAGGTGCTTTACAAAACACTACGTAATTATGGTGGAGCTTATAAAAAGTACCCTGGAGGCACCTAGAAGGTGGAACACGTTCGCTGCTAGCACTGGTGGTGCTGCATAGCCGTGACGGGCTATGCAGAAGTGAGCGAAACGGCAGTTGCAGTATGGTCAAACTGCTGGGGCGCTTTGCTAAGTGTCAGCATTCAAATCCCCATGAGCTCACGGAAGTGCTCTGGCCTCTTTGGAGTCAGATTTGTGTGGGTAGTAGCCCTGTAAAGTTACAAAAAAATGGTAACTTTTCAGGCTGATGATTTCAAGTTGATGTTGTACTTTTAACAACTGAGTGTTATTAGGATCTTAGCTTCACATGTCACCTGAGAAGTGGCACCTTAGAGCACTATCCTACCTACATCACTGAAGCAGAATGGAGTCAAATAGGTGTAACTAGACACAGTGTAACACTTTTATTTATTTATTTCTCTGTGCATAGCTTGATATAATTTAGTTGCAGAATGCGGAGGTATAATCTCCAGACACCCTGTACTCCATTCTTCTTTCACAAAAACCGAATTTTGAAAATGGTAAAGTTTCTTGTTTGATTGCATTATTTTACTACAAGTTTCTTATAATATCTGCTTCTCTTCATGTTCTGTACACACACGCACACAAGCATAAACACATGCACCCACGTGTCTCTTCCAGAGTGTAGTTTTGATCTACAGTAATTGTAGCTACTGAATAAAAAGTGACTTTGAAACAACATTGTCTAAAGTGTTTTCATATAATCAAAGTAAAAACAAAGCATCTATTCCTACTTTGTACTGTTGATTTAACACAAATGACTTGATTACCATGTGATTTAGCTAATGTGACTGTAAATATTAGCCTAGAATACCTCACAGGCATCTCTGTGAGAATCTTGTGTCCATTTGTTAGTCTTTTGAAACCGGACTGCACCTTCCTGCACTGTCTTGCTACTCCTAATGCAGCCAGAGGCTTTCATTGCTGTTTTGCTTTTAGATCTATTACCAACTGTGAAACTTGGGCTGTAAAGGAAATTGCCCTAGCAGACATAGAAGTTGGTTCCACTTCAGTGGGGTTATCACTGTGCATTTAATGGTTTGTTTTCTTTATGTAAACCTTTGCTGGGGAGATCAAAGCCAGTGCTATTTTCTATGACTTTACAACACCAACTCATGAAAACAACTTCTAGCTACAAATGTCACCCTGAAGAAACTCCCACTTTCCTCTCCTCAGCATGTGCTTGGCAACACCCACACTCTGTACAGCACAGTAAGGAACTTCCACTTAATGTGCACATGCAGCCACAACAGATTAAAGGCAGGTAGTGAAATAATTTTAAGACACTATGGATTAAATAATCATGAATTTAAGGCATGTTAGAAAGTGGGAGGGAAAGTGATTGTGCTCATTTATTCAGTTTTTAAAGGAAACTCACTGAAGTTCTTACATAGCTTTTTTTAATTCACAGAAATGGATCTTTTGAAAGAGTAAGCACACACAAAAAAAATCACAGGTCAGGAATATGAGCAAGAGCACTCAGCTAGGAAATGGAATGAATCATTTTTCTAAAAGAAACAAGTACAGTAGATTACCCCACGAGATTTGCATTTATATTATTAAACTTCCAGCAGTCATATTGCATTAATTGCCCTTAATACGGCATTAAACAGCTTTATTAGCATGTTGCTGTCAGCTCTGGCCTCTAAGAACCTGGCATTTATGTCCTTATCCATATATATGTATATATATATGCGATTCCCATCGCATCTTGTAACGGGGCAAAGCTTGCGTGCAGCCCATGCTGTGGTTTAGCAACTGCGTGCAGAGCAGCACAGCCCTTGTGCTTAGAGTAAGTTCCAGGACAGGTGAGAAACTGAGCGCTTCTGTGGGGCCTGTTCAGCTGACCTAATGCAATCCCTGTTAAATACTGACGCACAGTGCACCTAATACAATCCCCACAGCCCGATGGGAAGGAAAAAAAAAAAAAAAAAAAAAAACAGGTGCAAGGAAAACTATTGCTTGAAGCAAACAGCAGAAGTCAGGCTTGTTTTGCATTAACTGCTGGCCCATGTTCTGTCCCTTAGAATGCAATCATTTTTGCTTGTTAAGCATGTATGTGTAGACTCTTTTATTCCCAAGCAACTGTGCAGAGTGCTAGTAATCATATACATAGTGCTAGAATTGGCCCGGTTCCACGTGCACTCGACATCGAAACTTCCTGATTTCACCTCAGCCTGTGAGGGTGCTACGTGCTGCTTCTCAGCTGCTGAAATAGCCAAGGCAGTTGATGACGTTTCTGAAGAATATTACAGCCTGTCCTCCTTGCTCCTCACACTCTTCTCTCCAAAAAACAACCTTCTTCCACTTCAAAAAATGTACAGTTAGGGAAGTTGTCTCCTACCTTCTACCCCACTGCTGACCCAACTTGAACCTTCTGTGTTGGGGTAGAAGTGTCAGTAGGAGAAACTGAGCTGTGCAGTTTTTGAAGGGTGAAAGCACTGGCTTATGAGGTGCATACTTTAAACAAGTGGAATTAAATCCTTCTGAATATGCAGAGGGAACTTAGATTTAGGCAGTTAGTACTTAGTCAGGGAGACCACTAAATTTAAGAGGCAGTACAGAACACAGGTCAGAACCAGACCAATGAAGTCAGCGAGTGGCTGGATCTCAGAAAGTAAGGCCAGAAGCTAATGCAAAATAAGGCAGCCCCCTTTCCTTGATGTGCAAGCTTAGACACACCCTGGGGTAGCTGCTTCTGCGCAGCCTGAAGGCCAGGCCGGCAGTCCTGCAGGAAGGATGCAGAGCTACTGCCATTACCTTCAGGGGGGCTTGCCCTTCCTTGGGGTTAGAGGAAAAAAAGCAACTCCCTTAAATCCAAGGCTTTAACTCCCGGGCTTAGGGAGGGCCACCTGGCCTGAGAAGGCCATTTTAAACTGCCCTCAGAACTGCTCTGGGCCATCGGAGCCATGTGAGTATCTATCTGGCCTGGTGTCCTTCTGTTTTGTGCCACTAGAAGAGATGAGTTAGTCATGGATGCAGGGTCTGTCATTCCTCTCCTTGACCCCATATCTTTGCCAACTGCCATTAGTGAGGGGTGGGTGTCAGAGGGTCGTGTGTTGAGTGACAGTCTGGAATGTCTTTGAAAAGAGAAGCAAGCACTGCATGGTTTGGAAGGCAGACACAGGCACTGTTAATATCAAAAGTTGAATAACTCAGGAGAACTGTTCAGAAGCTCAACTCCAAGTTGTAATTCAGTCAGGTAGAATAAGCTGCACCATCATCAGGGATCCTTTTAATCAAACCAACAAATGGCTCGTTATACACACAGTAGCAAAAGATACAGGGGCTGGGAGATTATCAGGGATATTTATTAGCTAAAGGAACAAAAGATTTAAGCAATACTAACAACATCAACCTATACTTCTGAAAAGCAGACAGGCAGCTACAGATTCACCTAATGTAGGTAAAATTTAATGAAGAATTATTGATCAGTCACAGATAGTGAACTTGAATGCAAAAAAAAAAAAAGTTGTTAAATTCTGAAGCCTTTGTTTTGTGGTTATTAAAGAGGTATTTGACTTGACCAGTGGATAGGAAAACATGATTTATGTTTCAGCTAAGTCTTACCGAGTGAGCGGCTTTCATAGCTAAGGTAAACATCCTATTTCTGCAGGGACATTTTTGTTGCTTTGTACTTTACACATACATACTGACCCGCAAAAGCCTAGAAAATAACTTGATTATATTACATTTAACAGTTGAAAAGATCCACCTGAAGCGTAAGTTTAGCCAAGGCCACAAACTCAACTGAGTTTTAAATATGCACAGTATCTTATCATGCTTAAATATCTCAAGGCTTTTTATAGAAAATCCGTAATGACATCGTTAAATGAATGGAAACAAACAAGTCTTTGGTTTGACAGGCAATAGCCAAAATATTCTGCAACAGAAACAAAGAGCAGAAATGGCCAGAAATAGAAGAATGAAACAAGGTCAATAAAGAGTACCTAAGGCACCTTGTTTATAGTCATCTTTGCTACACTCCTTAAGACCTCCAAAAAACATATAAAACTGCAAGTGCTAAGGAATGTGAAGATGAAATCACAAAGGACAAAAAAAAAGTTACTTTTACTCCATGTTAAAATACCTATGATCAAAAAATATGATGGAATATACTTCTCCATGCCATAGTGAAGTAAAGTGAGGATACAGAGCTGAAAAATTAGTGAAAGGAGGAACAGTACCATTTGGAGTAAGTTGATTTGGTACTCAGGAATTGCAAGTCAAAATAAAGTAATTAAGAAGGCTGGACACTGAGAGGTGGATATTTTCTTTAATGTCTAGTGCAGCTCTCAGTCTGTTCAAGGACTGTAGAAGGTAGAAACATTGCCCCTACTAAAAAAATTAGAAAAATAAAAAAGGTGAGGAGAACACAGTCCATATTTGCTTCAGGGAAATGAGCTGAACGGCAAGAGCTGTAAAATTGCCCTTGGGAAAAAAATACACAAAGTAGTTTTGAGGAGTGATGGGAACACAGTTTATCCTGCAGTAAACAGTTTTAACCACCAACTGATTTGGGATTTCATTTAATGCAATATTTAGTTGACTAGTACTGGTTAAAGTTCCCTCCTCCAAGAAAATCAGTACCAACTTAAAAAATGAGATGGGGGAAATTGCATTACTTCTTTGTCTCAATGCTAGAGGCTTTGTGAAAGTAAGTCAGTCCTCTGTATTGAGTTTCCTGGCCTTATACTACGAAATGAAGGATTGTTGGATTCTTCAACCTCATTGACTTGCTACATGTTTGTTGAACTAGAGGCAAGTTAGTTCAGTTGGTTTCCAAATTTCCATTACCTTCCTACTGCTAGCCAGAGGGAAATTCATCCCTTTGCCTACTTTTAAAGACCAAAAGGAAGAAAAAAAATCTCTATTTCCCTCTCAGTACATGGCCTGATTTGAAAATGAGTTCATTTATGCACTCCTCTAACAGGTTCAGAATTCCATGGGAGAAGAATTTGCAAAGGGATGCACACTTCCAAATGTGTGCAACAGAATGGGAAGTTAGATCTTCAGTAAATACAGCTGAATTCTTTAGGGAATATAAACTTAAGTTACTCACATAGTTTGGAGAGTACCCAACTACCTACCAAAGCTATCAAACTGCAATAGCCAGAAGCCTGGTTACATTTTAATGCACTCTACTTAAAACTGTACAGCAGCATTTAGTGTTCATTTTGATGTATATATGATTGTTACCTTTTCAGCATTTTTAGGAGAGCATGTCAAACTTCCTAGAATAAGATTATTGTCTTCCAGTATCTAGATTACACTGAGAACTTGTGCTCACAAAGTACAAAAAAAAAAAAAACAGAAAAAGATTTTCTCATTGTCTGCTTTTACCTGTTACGCTATCCTCAGGTCTGGCCCATTTCCTGTTCCCTCGGAGCTACCTTTGGCTATCTGGCTGGTCTGATTATTGCACCTTTGTGGATACATTGGAACCGGAAGCAGCTTACATATAAAAGCAGATAACTGGAGCAGAGAGAGACAAGGTATTTCTTTGTGCAGATTCATACAGACTGTGCAAAAGTTTTATAGAGATATATTTATATATATATATGTATAATCAAAGCAAAAGGCTATCCAAATTCATTTTGAATATTTTGGGCCAAGCATCTCCACTCAATAGCATCACATGGATGCTGTTTCAACATGGTGCAGTTGCTTTCTCTAGACAATGTAACCCTGAGAGAGTACACCTTCCAGTCTGAATAAAATATTTGCAACAGATGTGGTGGTTTCTTATTACAAGTTCATTGAGTTTGATTTTGTCCCTCTGGATTCCACTGGTTGCAGAAGGCAGAATCATAGTTTTAGCTTTCAAGCCTGTAACAAGTTGGCTGTGTACTTAATGCATTGTATTTAAAGTCGATAGAATTTCACAGTAAGCCTGGCCGTTGTCAAATGTATCTCACGTGATCAAGCAGCAGTTTATGCACCTTGAGCCTATTCTCTTCTTCACCGTGTGTTTCTTTGGAGTTAGAATGGCTATAATAGCTTCATCAAAAACAGTCTTCAGTCCTTTCTGTGTTAGAGCTGAACACTCCACATAGCAGTAGGCTCCTATCTGTCAAGAAAACAAATTAGTTCAATAGGAATGTATTTCAGCTATACTCAGAACTACCGGCAACTTCTGCAATTTATTTCCATAGTGATACTTCAGTATTTGGATGTGTTCCAGGAAAGTCATCTCAGCATGGTTTCCCCTCTAACAAAACAAAAGATTGGCCAAAAGACACAGATCTGCAACTTACTTAAGCTGAGTTAGTTTCAGAAGAAAGCACATAAAAGCAGTTCTTTGTGCTGGCAGTAGAAACCTCTGGCATTTTTGATAACTAATGTAGATAACAACAACAACAAAAAAATACATGGCCAATTTATCTTTCAAAAATAAGCCTTTATAAGTGTCCTGATCCACAGAGTCCAACCGAGGACTCTCCGCGGGTTGTACAGCATTCTGAAATATCTTCCCGAAGACACTTCCAGTATTCTAATTATCTGTAACTCCTGCTTGTGTAGTTTTTACGGAGTTTATACGCACCAAGTTAGAACCATTCGTAAAAGGGAATGCTATTTATGTAAGCATACTGTCTAGCTTTGCGCAACAATAACAACATCTTGCTCGCTGGTAAGCAATCATACAGTGGCCAGTAAAATAAATGAGCAAAACAGGGAAAGGAAGAAGGAAAAAATCAATTCAAAATAGTTTTTTGTTTCTTTGCTATTTAGTTTCTTTTAGGAGTATCCAGTTTACCTCTTTTGCTAACTTCTGTCCTTGATCCACAGATACAGGCTTCTCTTTCATATCATTCAGTCTTGCCAGAGTTTTTGGGTCATCACGAAGATCAATCTAGCAAGAAAGATTGCAGTCATGTGGAACAGCTATACACATTTTAAACACAAGTCTGCAGGCTATATGATACCCTCTTTTAAAAACATTATTTAATTATGTAAAAAATGGATCACATGTATCCTTATTGATCTAAAAGCCCTGGAAATTTAAGCTGTTTCTAAACCTTCGGTTCAGCAAACAAGAGTAAATATTTATTTCCTAATTCAGCTTTTCAATTACATGTGGTTGCCTCTGTCGGAATACCAGAATGTATCTCCAGAAGTGGCAGCAGGATTAATAGAAGCAATGTGGGTCATCTTACTATTGAAGTCCAGTTCACAGCCCACAAAAGAGAGAGGAAATTATCTCACTCTTCCTCTTTAGCTTCTACACATACTGGACCTGACCAAGAGTTGCAGACTGAAGTAACTGTAACACCCCTCCCCACGTTGTTACATGAATAGTCTTTATTCATGTAATAGCACCACATCAATAGAACAGGCATTTTTATGTGGTAAGTCCCATGACTTTTTCTACAATCACACAGAGAAAAGCAGCCAGTCTAGCTACCCTGTTTAAGATCCCCACATACTCATGTCACAGTACATTTGCGGTAACAAAAGAGAGGTCTTCTTTTAGAGAGCACCACAGATGTAGGTTTTTTTCATTGGAGCAGTTCCTCCAAGGCCAAAAAGAAGGTGCTGCTCAGGTCCTGTTGCTTACACTTGAAGCCCAAAGACAGGACACCACAGAGTAATCAGAAATATTTAAATAAAATAGAACAGAACCAGATATACCTGTGTTCCTACTAATAAAAAGGGTACATTAGGTGCATATTCCTTTAACTCCGGTACCCACTCTTCCTTCACATTTTGAAATGAAGCAGGGTTTACCACTGAGAAGCAGATAAGGAAGACATCGGTCATAGGGTAAGATAAAGGTCTCAGTCGATCATAGTCTTCCTGAGAAAGAAAAATTCTGTTATCTGCAATATTCAACTGTCGCTTATATTTTGTTCATTTTAACAGTGAACTGTATTCATATTTCAGGAAGTTTGCTGAAGCAAACCTTCCGGCTGTTTGCAACTATTCCAGGTTAGTTAGTGTAGCTTTCAGTGCAAAATCTGCATACGAAGGTGATATATGTGAATGTATATATGAAAAAACACTTTGGCTGTGTTACTACCAGTAGAAACTTACCTCTGTATTAAGATCTACAGGAGACTTTCCTTAAAAACATTCTCATTTAAAAAGTTTATGGTTAAAATATACTTGCTAGAGTCTGTTTGAAGAGAAATGGGTAGATGTACCTGCTGCAGAGCAATCCAACTTAGGCAAAGCTGGGCTAGACTATGCCTGTCCCATGCACTTTACCAAGGGCCTTTTCTCTTTTGGAGCTTGAGGTGATATTAAGCCCCTCCTTTGCATTTTGTGGAGTAAAAACAATACTGTCTTGTTGCTGAAGATCAGGTCAGACACAGTATTGACCAGAAGGGAGTTCCGTTTTCTAGATGTTGCTTTGTGTAGCAGAGTAACCCCAGCTAACAGAGGGAAGGAACCGAAGTCAAAGAGCAAGTGTGTTTTAAAGAGCAAAATTAAAGAGTGAGAATAGCGTTTATCAGAAGAAGGGCAGTGAGCAGCGGGTGGCACGCTGGAACAGGATCCGGGCCTGCGGGAGAAGAGGTGTAAGGCACCTTTCGCCACGTTTTTGGGCTAAAGGGGAGAACAGGCCCAGCTTCTCTCTGCAAGGCTTGTGTTGGTCAGCGGCACCAAACAAACGCCCTACTGCTCCTACCTCACACTTTTTTGTCAAACATTAACTAAAACTGAGCCCAGGCGCTGCACAGAGAGCAGCGCTGGGTTCGTGTTCTCTTCTCCACGGCAAACACCGGTGCAGGGTTAATCAGTGGGCTGCAGCTGCCTCCTCCTCCCCATGTAAGCTCTCCATCTTAATTAAATCTCACAAATACTGGAACGATTTGTTCATGAAATGCAAAGACAGAAGTGTAATTCAACACTTTGAAACAAGCCAGAAAATTCAATTTTCATTTCCTTGGCAACTATCACATTATCAGATATTAATTGTACAGCTGCACCCGCAAAAAGGTCTTCACTGACTAATTGTTAAGTTTGAAAGACTGTGTCACTAGAATTTCAGAAAACATAGGGAAACTTCCCCAAGATAGTGTCTGCTAGACCACTTTCCTTTTGGAAGGGGACACCTATGGGAAAAGGGCTTTTTCCTCGCATCATTACATAGAGAAAAGACATATGAGAATATCCCCTTCAAGGTGCCTGTTTAAGAAGGTGACCATTTGCCAGTAGTCCACATCATTGTCTGTTTTCAGAATATTCTTGTTTGCAATCCATATTCTCACACGCAGCTCTGGCTATAGAGACTCATCCAGCAATATATGTGCTGTGGTTTTGCCAGTAAAGTAGACCATGCCTAGCTGTAAACACGGTTACACAAATTTGCAACCCTACATGAAATATTTGGCAGGCCTTTTTGGAAACCAGTTGTTCTTCTCTACTAAGGTCAGCTCCTATCCCTCTTCACAAGAAAAAACTAGTCTCCACAGCAGTACAACCTGAGTGGTATTTATTACAGAAAGCAAAAATAAACTCTTAGTTTAAAATTCACAAGAACTTGAATCTATTCAACATTCTTTTTTTAACTGTGTATTTTATGTTTCACTTCTACTACTTGATGTAGTTAGAGCCTGCTCGGAGTAGTCACTCTGTTTTCTTTTGTGGAGATCAAAATCCTAAAAGAAGCTTCTCAGTTGCAAATTAGACTGGTCTCTGGACTATCCAGTCTTCCTATTAGTACATGAGAACATGCAGGCAGATCAGTCAATCATTCTCAAATTCAGATTTACTAAATGATATGTTGGGTATTACTGACAAAGTAACTATCTTTAAAGTAACTGAAAGAAATCCTAGTTTGTAATCATAATTTATTCCATTCACCAAAGAGTTCCGTCACTACAAAGTCTCATCCTGGGTGACAGTAATTAGAGCACTGTCTACATTAAATACTGGATTGGTAAAAGCATCTCACTGTCACCAGGAGTTACTCTTAGCCCAGTGACCCTAGTTAGTGCATTTCTGCAGACAAACTTTTTATGCCTGCAAATACTTCTCATTTTCAGATCTGAAAGGCAAGTTACATTTGCATGACTTAAACACTTGCATATTGGATTTATCAAGACCTACTGGATACTAATCTTTGTACGTTGATCCACATCTTGGTTACTGCACCTCACCTTCTAAGTATCAGTGGACTCCTGGAAGTGAACGATTTCACCCCTTCTCAAGTGCTGTGCATTGCGGAACACCTCTCTTGCTCCTGCATTTATTAAAATGTTCATTCATCTGTGAGCGGGCTATGGGTCGGTGCTGTTTAATTAACATTCTAAACAGAAGACAGCTACTGTGTGTTTGGGCACTTTATGTACAGAGCTGCACATGGTATTCACTGCAGTAACTTCACTGCATTTCTTCTTTCTTAAATTAACAGAAAATTAGGGCTATCCCCCCCAGTCCTACTAGTTGCAACAAGTCAACACTCTCAGGCATCTCTTACTTAAGCCTTGTCTGTGCTACAAAAATCATCGTCATACTAATATAGTTGTTTTAATGAGACTCTTAATTCTAATGTAGCCTTGCACCGTATTCAGTACTATGATGATTACTGTGGTCCTGGGTACTCCTAAGACAGATCATGGCTTAAATATTACCAACATCCAGTAGTCCATCTATGCTACAGATTCCACTCCCCAACAACCCACAGAAATAATGATTAACAACTGAAATCTCTCTCTCAGGTATTGGGCAAAAATAATTGCTGCACTTGGTAGAAGGATCAGAAACACCATAAGAATTTAGACTGCATATTAGAGAAGCCTGGAAAAATCTGATTGCTTCAGCTGTCATTTATTTCCTAAATCTAGCATAAATGAAATAAATGTGTGTTAGTCTAAAATTAAATGCAAGGGCAAAATCTAATTATACTCAGTCAACATAAATTCCAATTTGAGCGCACACATTGTACAGCAATTAAACTTCCAAATTAATTTGGGGAGGCATTGCATATATTTTGTGGCACTAAAAACATTGAAAGAATTTAACTGGCATATTTTAAGAATGTGATGGGCAGGAAATCCACTGAGGATCAATAACGTACAGTACCCTTCTCAAAAAATCCAGTTTAGTGAGGTAGCTTATTCTACAATATACTCGGTATTGTTTGCCATCTGCTGAAGCAGATGAATACGGATAAGAAAACATAAATATAAAGAGGGTATTAACAACTTTAAACAAACTAGATGCAAGTGTATCATCTGAATTAATGGTATACAGAGCTGCAATCCTCCATGGACGCCCTGTAAAAGGTTTTATATTGCAACAAGGCTGTCAATTGTTATCACTGTGATAACTCAAGACAGCTGCCAATATGGAAAAGAGGGAAGATGTAGGAACTAGGGATTTGTCTCAGCTTCTTAACTACAAACTGGTGGGTTGGTTGGTTCATTTGTTTCTGGTAGGAGGGAAGAAAGGAAATTCATACTTTTAAAATTTTGCTTCCCCCCGGATTTAATTTTCTAAAGGCGAGTCTAGCATTTCCTTCATTTTAGCCCTTTAAAATCTCTCCTTTACGCCTGTTCTTTCAACTAGTATAGTACCTAATAATTGACCTCTCTCTGTGTTTTTCTTTTTGCCTTGTTTTGGAATACTGAATCACTAAATTTCACTGTGCTGTGGATGTTTGGATAGATTTGTTTTAGCATGTCCAAAACCTGTCCATTTCTTTTGCAAGTAGCTAAAGGTCAGGAAAAGTTATCTCTGGAAACCTTTTCCCTGCGGACTGAAGAACAGTCTTGCAGTTCCACGGAAGAATATCCTTCTTTGTTTCAAGGGTTTACTCAGACTAAAAGCAGAATGCACTGCTGCATTTCAAGCAAGTTTTATCATTGATTTTATATTAATACTTTTGCCCAATGCCATGGATGTGAGCTGGAAGGCATGGTTAAAAACATACAGAGTGTATTCCCAACTCTGCCACTGACACATTATGCAGCCCTAAGCAAATCATTATCCTCTCTTTACTTGCTTCTTCCCATCTGTTAGGGTGCCCCATAGGGGTTTGCTGGCTTAATAATACACTAGTCTTTGCAAAGCACTCCAAAAGCCTTTGATACACACAGCTTATGTGCAATGGGGTATTTTTAAAAAAATAATTAAGACATGCTGAAGTTTAATAATGCTCTGGGCAACCTTCTTGACCCACACAAAACAGTATTTGCTCGTAGTTATTATGAAACCGAAATAAGAGGTACAGTCATACCTGAGCGCCGCATTATTAAAGCCTCTAGCTCCCCTGTGTTATCATGTCAGCCTCCTCCATGATCAAGTGATGAAAACAGTGGTTGTTTTGGAATGATACTAGGGAATGATACTAGGGTCTCTCTGTACCCTTTGGAGATGACAGGCAACTAGAGAAGCCTTCTTGGTAGTCAGTACCTTCTGGCACCTTGACAAAGTGTTTGGGCAGATTCACACCTCTTGGATCTGCTTGTAAAGGTCATCAAAAGATTTTAATCTAGATGCTTTAGGTTTTTTCCTCACAAATATGAGGACTAGCTTCTTCTAACAAACAAGAGAAACCAAATTCTTAAATATCTTACCTTTAGTGGCAAGGTGTGCCATGCTTACGTTTTAATCCAAGCCTGGTTTGTTGTACTTTTATGAAAACTGAAGTAAAGGATTTTGTGTTTCGCAACTTAGAAGCTTAACTCTACACGTTCACATAAAACTGAAATAGTCTTACAGCACAAGGGTAAGCATGTTTCTTTTATATCCTAGGAAGGTGCAAGACTGGGGGGAGGGTAAAGATTGCACTGCTCTGGCAGAAAAGCTGGAACTTGACAGCTCTGGGTTTGTGATCTCTGTGTTAGCAA